GATATGTTCAAAACGTAGACTTTTCGTCAGAAATCTACGGAGAGAGTCTGTGAACGTAGACTTTTCTCAGAAAAGTCGAGCGCACTTTGAGATTCGAAGGCATACTGACAGCCATGGACGATGATGGGAGCATGGCTTGGGCATTGCAAACTTGCTTCTGCATGCCCACAACACTTGTGGATGGTCAAACCTTGGCTCTGGCAAGGCATTCGACCTCCACTGAAGGACCACAATAAATTAACATGTTATGTTAATTTATTGTTCTTTTTTATACATGTTTCCCGAAGGAAGACATATTTACGAACGGACAGCGACTACTCGCTGAGAAATCTCAGTCAAGGACATCGTCGGTCCCAGCAGCTCAACCGCTTGATGTACATCAATGTCGTGCAGTGCCTTGTTGTCCTATAGCTGCTGACAGCCGCTGTAATGGTGCACGGGTATTGTGTGCAAATTGTTATAGTGTATATTTGTTAAGTATTGTTGCTTCTGCTATTTTTGCTATTTTTTAGTACCTAATCGGCACTCATTATAAATTGATTTTATGCGCAAATAGATTATGTTCATCAATAGATTATGTTAATGCGCAAATAGATTATGATTTAATGTTTGAGCGTTTTTTCGAACGCTCAAGTCTGTTCGAAAAAAAAATATATATATCTGCGTAAGAATCCGGCGTAGGCCGCGAGCGTGGGGGCGCGGCGGCCATTGTCCTATGCCGCTGCTGTGCATGCGCGTGTCTGTGTAGCATGGATACACGCTGTGCATGCCTGTGTAGCATATGCATGCCTGTGTAGCATGGATACACGCAGTCATATGCGCGTGTAGTGTAGGCATGTACGGAAGGGTCTAGCGTATTGCCTCTAAGCTGACCAATGCAGTCTACGCCATTAGTTTCTTGCAGGCGCAGCCGTAGATATTATAAGGGGAACCTTATTTCTAGCAGTTGTTTCCAGTGGATCCTAGGGGAACCATATTTTATTGAGAATTTGTTGCTAGAAAAAAAGGGCTCCCAGTAGAAATACGTGCAATAAAATATGGTTCCCCTAGGTTCCCCTGGAAATAACTGTTAGAAATAAGGTTCCCAGTGAAGATGTTATAAGGGGAACCTTATTTCTGACAGTAATTTGACAGTTGACTATGCGCACAACGTATGTTCAATATTTTAAGCGTGCACAACAATTATGTCCTAACGATCTTCGAAAGAAAGTTTGGTTCATTTTAGTGCCTGACGATTAAGCCGAGGAGCGAAACTGAGTCAATGTTAATCTAGACTCTACTTAATTCTAATATTCTTCAAAAATTCATTTACCGGTAATATGTTTTCCTGTTATTTGTGATACATGTATACAACTGTTCATGTATACATGCATACATCTGCTCATGCATACAACTATTCCTGTATACACATACACAACTTTTCATGTATACATGTATACAACTGTTCATATAGTACGTGTATATACAATTGTTTCATCTTCTATTTAAAAACTAATCAAGCCGCCACTAGTTGTGATTTTGCCAAACATTCACTTGATATATGGCAGTTAATTAAAGTCAGTGGCTCTTATCATTTCCGGAGTTTTCACTCTGCACATCCGCTGCTTTTTGCCGAGTGTTGTTAGGTTTAGGTGCCTCCTCCCACGTGTATTCCGGCGGCCTTTATGATGTGAACATTCAGAAATGTATAATTCAGAAATGTATAAATATGTGAACATTCACATGACTATTTTTTTTACTATTAACTAATTTTTTAACGGTATTTTTTTTACTATTAACTCACTATGACTATTTTTTCTTAAGATGTGAACATTCACAGTTCACTTGCGGTGGTCGTGACGATGTTTTTGTCGCGGGAAAAACTAAATCGGATGCCAAAAACATTTGTATCGACTGATTTAATATATGATTTAAACCAGTAATTACCTTAAGTATATTATCAGGTCATTACTTTACGTTTACGTCGGGTAGAATCTATAAATTGATCGCGATTTATAATTTTCCACCTCACTTTGCAAATAATTAAGACTTCGCTTCAGTGAAATAACTCTGATGAATAACAGTTTATCTATTAACAAAACAACTATCTTATCGTGTATATCTGTGAAGCTCATTGAACGGCCCCATTTTTATTTTTGTTTCCCCTTTTTCCACATATTTACCCTCCCCCATATGCACGAGTCCCCCCCTCCCCCATTTTTCTGCTATGCACCCGATCTTTCAACGCCGAGATGTGCGTGTATATATACACAATATATACAGACTGTATTATATTATTAAATACAGTGTATATTATACAATATATACAGACTGTATTATATTATTATATGCAGTGTATATTATACAATATATACAGATTGTATTATATTATTATATACAGTGTATATTATACAATATATACACACTGTATTATATTATTATATGCAGTGTATATTAATACAATATATACAGACTGTATTATATTATTATATACAGTGTATATTATACAATATATACAGACTGTATTATATTATTATATGCAGTCTATATTATACAATATATACAGACTGTATTATTGTATATATATCTGTATATATTCCCGCTGATTTCCCCGTTTTACCATTCATATTTATAGCATTCATTACATACTCTCAGTGTTGGGTTTTTATATTAAATATTTGTTTACATACATGTACTTGCCCTGATGAATTTTATGTGGTTTATGAAAATATTCACGGTTTGGTGTTCTCGACTTGCATGTCATAATAATTGTGAAATATACTCATGTGTTGGTTGAATAATTTGTCATCAATGTCCTTGTGTTATATCCGGACTTTAATGATGTTAACAGGTTTCTCTGCTGAATTCTAGGTCCTTTATTAGGTATTAATGACGTTCACAAGTTTCAAATGAACTCTTCTATTTAAATTGTGTCATGTCCCTTGCATATGTGAATGGGAAGTCTCATGTAATAAATAACTTTGTATTACACTCGCGGATCTCAAAATACGAGTCAAGCTCCTCCCCTATTTATTATGAAGTTTATATGATAACAGGCCTGATGTGATAAATTATCTCTTAGTTTTCATACATTTCTAAACATGACTTTATTTCCCCTCACGATACTTTATTTCCCCTCACAGTACTTTATTTACCCTCACAGACTTTATTTACCCTCACAATACTTTATTTCCCCTCACAGTACTTTATTTACCCTCGCAGATTTAATCGAAGATATGCATGAATTTATTGTATTGATTTATTGTCTATTGTATACCATTTCATATTTTGTATTTCCCATTTGTAAGTGTATTGGCTCTTTATGCTGCCTTTTTGTAGAGATGCAATCCAGCGTTCAAAATAAGCTTTAAAAATTGTTAGATTTCGTAAAAAAAATCTCCCAAAGGGCAAGCCTTCTCTTGTCTTCTCACGTAGTATGCCTGCGGCCTTTTAAAGCAGGATATAAAAATTTAATAATAAATATAACCCATGATTTTATTTTTAGTCTTATCATCAATGTTCAGATAACATTGGATTTTAGGACCAATGCCTCGGATCGTCTAAACCAAACGCTGAACACTGGATTGCACTGAACATTGCTTGTTTGTCCTCACTTAATATATCATCATATATTTTTTGTGAGATCATTTGTTAAGTACTCTCGACCAATTATTGTGTATTTCATTGTATATAACTTTAATGTATTTGATGGCTGCTTTTGGTGATGTGTTATTTAAATGCATTTATAATGTATTCGGAAATTTTGCTTGTGCAAATGTCCCGAGCACCGACGCATTGTTGCTGCTTGAAAAAATAATCTGTCAGGGCCATACTTTCAAAACTCGCTAAGTGAACGTAAGTACTTACGCTCTGTTTTCTTGTCTATGATTGGTGGATTTTGCTTGAAAGGCCGTCAATGATTGGCTGATGAACTTACGATCTCTTAACTTTTTTGAAAGTATAGTGAACGTAAGTACTTACGCTCAATTTTCTTGTCTATGATTGGTGGATTTTGCTTGAAAGGCCGTCAATGATTGGCTGATGAACTTACGATCTCTTAACTTTTTTGAAAGTATAGGCCCTGTCTTTGATATCAGCCCGCTGAAATGTGAGCGTGGTTCTTGCACCTTCGTAAAATTAAGTGCATTGTCTTCTTTTTGTCAAAGAACTAAATAGTTTGTTTCAATTATCTTTAATGGTAACAATATTAAACTCCACATAGACAAAATCAAATGAAAAGAATAGCGAAGTTGTTAAAGAAACATTTTGAAACAATGATTATTCTCGGTTCGAGACTTCTTTTCTGAATTCATTTGTAAAAAATATTAGTAAAATTTTTCGGAATAATTTTTCATTACTATAAGTGTTTTGTGGCGCAGTGCTTTGGAACTTATAGGATCTTGAAAGCTACCTACTATTTTGGTATTGCAGTAACTGCAACAGCAAAATGGAGCAGCTGAAGTCCTAACCATTCCAAGCTAAACTCAATGTCAAAGTCTTCAAAAAAAAAAAATACTTGTACATTTTGTGACCATCTAGCCAAAGATCCTGGCACGAATTCTTCCCTACTACAGCCTTATCTGTTCACTTCAAGATGATATGTTTAAAAGCTGTTAAGTAACCATTCCAACCTAACCTCAATGACACAGTCTTCAGAAAAATACACTCGTACATTGTGCGACCATCTAGCGAAAGATCCTGGTACGAATTCTTCCCAACTATGGCCTAATGCAATCATTTCTGGACGATATGTTTAAAAGCTGTTTAAGTAAGGGCCTATTCATCAGGCGAGGGTAGCGTGTCCTTGATTTTACGAAGGTGAAAGATCTAGTTATCCGATATTCTATCCAAGGAGATGTAACTTAATTATTTCTGTTTCCCTAATTACGCTTTTTCTTTTATTCTCTAAGGATGGCGTGGAAAGCAATGAGGTAAACAGGCTTCTTCAAACCGTCGTCATGCAGCTAAACGCGTTCCTTTTCGCGGAGCGTTCTCATAACGGGACAAATTGTTAATGTTTTTTGTTCTTCCCTTCATTCAAAGCTCGAAATTCGTTACCCCGAACCCTTCTTTGTGTGGCGTTACGAAAGCATATTGGAATATTGCCTTTAGATATTATTCGTGTATCCTTCGTTGACAATTCTATTTTAAAAGTAAACAAAATGTTCTGAAATTCGTGAATTTTTGACCAATCGGAGCCTGGAAGCTTCTTTGGACTGTCCACTCTCTTCCGTTTCGTTGTGTGCGTCGATTGATCCGTAGCACGAATTTTTACAGCTCCTGCATCATTTTAGCTCAATTTTCTTGAAATTTTCTTTACAGTTTTAATCTAATTGACTTTTATCCATGATCACTGCGATGCACCTTTTAATTTACAATGTGTAGCAGCATTCAGAATAGTTCTTCTCTTCGTTTTGATGAAATATTACGAATCGTGCGTGCATTCCTGTTATTTTCTATTCGTGTCACGATGTTCTGTAATTCACTGTTCATGAGGCATGTTTTACTTACAAAAGATATTGCTATAAAAACGCATGCATTTTCAAATGTTGTGATAATTAAAAACGCGATGAGCGCGCCTTCTTATATGTCTTTATTTTTACCAGTTAAATATAAATTTTTAAAGATGATTTCATAACAATTGTACGGACATTCTGTCCTTAAATAAATGAAGTTGACCAAAAGCACGATTACCTTTTGAATTTCAGCAATTAATCAGTTAAATTGTTTAAGAACTTGCCTCAACTTGTGTGATTTTATTAAGTGTATCTAACTGACTTTTGTATGAGTTATTGTAACTAATGTGTAACCACTAATATTGTGGTAAGTACATTATTTTACATAGAGAATAAAGTTGCACGACTGCATGATTTGATTGTTTATGTTGCTCTGTAATGAAGGCTGCTGCAGTTTTGTGCTAGACTGCCAGACCTTAAACGCTCTTCCGCATTGGCGGTATAGGTTCTTCATTTGAATTTTGTATTTTGTCTCACTTATCTTGGATGAATAAATTAAATATGGATGTAGTGACAATTATAAATATTAAGAGTGGTTATTTGAACAACAGCAATTCATTATCTTAAAATTGGAAAAATGTTATTTGGTGATAAAAATGTTTTGTTTTCATACCATACATTGACGATGTTGCATTGTGGACTCGTATGGTTTTTGAGTGAGATGAATTTTTTGCGTTATGTTGGAGTTATTGATTCACAAGATTGCATTTCCAGGACGAACTAAACTGTTTGAACTCAAATGATTTCGCATTTCGAGTCCGGGTAATTAGTAAATTAAACAATCAAATGCATTTTATTGTACTGTAATAAGAATTACAATAATTTGCCTCCGATCACTGTTTTAAAGAAATACTAGAATTAATTATATTCGATTAAAATTAAAGATTGAAATAAAAAATTAGTTAATTGATTGTTAATACTTAATTTCTCTGCATCCGAATATTATGACAGATGTCTGATTGTTTCTGATGTCGTCGTATGGTTTACAATCTCATATCGCTGCGACGTAAATATTGATGACGACATTGACGCTCGGTTTGTTCCACTTTTTCTTCCCCCAATTTATTTCCTAGGAAGAAGTTTTTCTCTGCATCCGAATATTATGACAGATGTCTGATTGTTTCTGATGTCGTATGGTTTACAATGTCATATGCGGCGTAAATCTTGATGACGACATTGATATGCTCGGTTTGTTCCACTTTTTCTTCCCCCAATTTATTTCCTAGGAAGAAGTTTTTCTTAGCGAAAATAAAGCTTTGGTTTAACCACGTCACGCTTTTTGAAGCTTCCTTCTCACGCTGAACAACCATAGCGCTGCACGCGTGACAGCGCTCACTTCCTCTTGTAGAACGGGCCGGTCTTGACGGGCCGGTCTTGACGGGCCGGTCTTGACGGGCCGGTCTTGACGGGCCGGTCTTGACGGGAATCAAACTAGTTTGTTGGCAACCGCTTCAAATAACTCTCTGCATTACCATGTTTTTTCGAATTAATAAGCTATGTTGTTACAATAAAATTGAGTGCACTTTTACGCAGGTCGTTCACCGATAGTTTAAAATACGCAATCACACTGATGAATACTTGAGTGAAATAATTTGTTATTATCTATAGTTATATTATAAATGGAATAATTATTTAAGATATACGATTGAAAAAAGGAACAGTAATAAGAAATGTGTTACTATTATATTCGTAACTTGAGGTTTTTAAGAGAAATTCTAACTAATTTTATGAAACGCTACCGATGTTTTCTGGTGGAAAATTGATTGTATATGACCATGCATTCAAATAAAAAAATTAAACTTTTTTGAAAGTATATGCCCTGTCTTTGATATCAGCGCGCTGAAATGTGAGCGTGGTTCTTGCACCTTCATAAAATTAAGTACGTTGTCTTCTTTTTTGAGGGAACTAAATAATTTATGTTTCAATTATTTTGAATGGTTACAAAATTAAAGTCCACAGAGGCACAATCAATTGAAAAGAATAGCGAAGTTGCTGAAGAAACATTTTGAAACAATGATTTTTCTTGGTTCGAGAGTCTTTTTCTGTTTTCATTTGTAAAAAATGTTTGTAAAATTTTTCGGAATAATTTTTCATTACTATAATTAATGTGATTTTATGTGATTAACTGAACCTGAATGTGATTTTATGTGATGCGCTGAACCTGAATGCGATTCAATGTGATTAACTGAACCTGAATGTGACTTTATGTGATTAACTGAACCTGAATGTGATTTTATGTGATTAACTGAACCTGAATGTGATTTTATGTGATTAACTGAACCTGAATGTGATTTTATGCGATGCGCCGCACCTGAATGTGGTTTTATATGTGATTAACTGAACCTGAATGTGATTTATGTGATTAACTGAACCTGAATGGGATTTTATGTGATTAACTGAACCTGAATGGGATTTTATGTGATTAACTGAAACTGAATGTGGTTTATGTGATACGCTGAACCTGAATGTGATTTTATGCGATGCGTTCAACCTGAATGTGATTTTATGTGATTGACTGCACGTACCTGAATGTGATTTTATGTGATGCGCTAAACCAGCATCACTGCCATTTATCACTGCTCATTTAATTGCCTTTTTTGTGCACTATTTGCTCATATCAGTTCCGAAAGCCTTAATTATCCATAGCAGATGGACACACAAAAATATACACGTCAGATAATTAAGGTAAATTGATTGGAATATTTGCTGATATATGTAACCATTACGTGCAAGAGATTGCGTTGCTACGCGAACGAGAGGATCTGATTAAGTTAGCGCGTTGCGTGCGCAATCCTTGCCAAGGAGGATAGCACACATAATCTCTAAGACGCTCAGTCGGACTTTAAAGTCTGAGAATTTTTTAAAGTTTGAGACTTTTTTAAAGTCTGAGACTTTTTTAAAGTTTGAGACTTTTTTAAAGTCTGAGACTTTTTTAAAGCCTGTGACTTTTTTAAAGTCTGAGACTTTTTTAAAGTCTGAGACTTTTTTAAAGTCTGAGACTTTTTTAAAGTCTGAGACTTTTTTAAAGTCTGAGACTTTTTTAAAGTCTGAGACTTTTTTAAAGT